AATACTTATTTGTTAAAAAAAAAAAAAAAAAAAAAGTTCCATTTATGAATAGAAGTAGTTTAGCAAAAGGTTTTCCAGATCTTTGTCTCCAGCAGAGGAGCTGAGATCCAGACTTGATGGACACGTCTGGACACAGGTGTTTCTGCTCTGCTCCAGTGCTCACCTTGATGGGACAGCCTCCCCTCGTGGCACTGCAGGGCCAGGAAAGAGATAATGCACAGAAAATGCAACTCAATCTTTGGAATAAAGTTGATCCTGTGATTTGGAATCCAAAATGTGATTACTGTTATTCCTGTGGTTGGTTTATTGAACCAAGATTCAATCCCAACTCTCTTAAGCCATTGTTCTACATAAGTAACAATAAAGCTTACTTAAGCTGATTATCACTAAATATTTTTATACGAATTTTCAAAGTAGGTTTATTGTTATTGATGCTGCTGTTGCCATTCTTTTATTATTATAAAAAGCCAATATATGTTTATTTTACAAAATACAAATTTAACAAAAAGAATAAACTATTATCTTTTTAAAAAATATATATTTTATTGTTTTGTTTTGTTTTGTTTTTACAGAAAGGAAGGGAGAGGGATAGAGAGTTAGAAACATCAATGAGATGAGAGAGAAACATCAATCAGCTGCCTCCTGCACACTCCCTACTGGGGATGTACCCGCAACCAAGTTCATGCCCTTGACCGGGATCAAATCTAGGACCCTTCAGTCTGAAGGCTGATGCTTTATCCACTGAGTCAAATCGGTTAGGGCAAACTGTCATCTTAGTATCACGGCAGTCCTCGGGTAGTCAGACATCGTACATAGCGTCTCCAAGTTCCAAGTGTGAGTGCTCCTTCGAGCAAGAGGGAAGCCATATGGCCTTTAGGCTCTATAATCACACAGCATCACTCTGCCCCACTCCACTCATGGCAGCAGGTACCGCCCCCTACCTCCCCCCCAACCCAGGTTCAAGGGGGTGGGGCCGTGAACCCACCTTCCAGTGGCAGAAGTGCCAAATCATTTAGGGACCATGCTGTAAAACCACCCCAGCTCTACTATAATAGTTAGTACCCTGGTTGCGGTCGGATGGGCTGACGTAATAAGGATATGAGTTTTCGGGCATGACCAAGCATACTGAGGCAGAGATGTTCCAGGTTAGTTTAGTCACTCGATTTTTCAGTCTTTCCATTCCATGCTCAGCATATCAGCAACATTTGCTCTCATGGTCACACATTGCTGCTGCAGTTCTGGTGTCACTAGGAATTGGGTCTCACATTCACGGAAGAAGACAGACATTGACTTGGGTCAATCAATTTTTCTTAAGAAGGCAAACCTTTCCTTCATGCCCCCAGAAATCTCTTCATGCATCACTGACCACCACTGGACCACATAATTTCTCCCTTGGCAAAATGTAGGGGGAAACCTGCCTGTTATTTTTGTTTTTCTAAGGTGAAAAGTGAGCTCTGCAGAAAGGAAACGGCATGTGAATATTTGATGGTAGGACAGGCCTTTCCTACTTCTTCTCATGGTCCACGTATGAAAGGTGATTACATTTATACGGCACAGGGGAGGAAACTAGAGTGGGCTTAGAGGGTCTTTTTATGGGGTTTGCTTTAAAAATATTGTCCGTATGCAATTATAAGAAAAAATAAATAGAAAGATGTCAAAAATTACATTTGTAACAAATTGAAATAAAACCTTTTCATTTTAAAACCAAATATACTGCTATGATATCACCACTTCAAAATAATCCACAAATAAGTTTCTAGAACCTTTTCTATTCATCCACATACTTTACTTTTTAAAAAATGCAGTTATTATTTCTCTTCTGATTGTAATCAGCTTTTTAGAAAAGCTACTGTGACATCTTCGCCATCACAATAGATTCAGATTACAATATCACTCCTAAAAGACGACAGGAGCACCAATATATAATTATACCTTAATATAACCAATCAACTAAACATTGATGTTATTTTAGATTTGTTTTTTTCTTTTAAAATATATTTTAATAGACATCCTTAAATATTTCACATAAGTGGAATTTCTTAAAAGCTGCCAATTTATACACACAACAGCAATGCTTACATTCATCTATTTGACAAGGGAGAATCAAGTTTTATGCCAGGCCCTATTCTGAATACTTTGAATTCAGCAGTTTAAAAAAAAAAAAAAGACAAAAACTCTTTCTCCTGCTACTTATACAGTAGTATGTGAAAGGGCCCATTTCTCTGAACTCATAATATGATTGGGGCTTTTCAAATTATAGATACTTTGATAGGGGGATTATTTTATTGTTGTATTGCTAACATAGATTTTTTTTTTATAATTGCTTACTGGTTATTTGTATTTCATGATCACAGTTTCTTTCTTTCATTGCATATGCTAACCAGCACCTGTGCCACTAACATAAGGCAATACTTTTCACAGGTGAAAAGAGTTATTTAAAAATCATATAGCTAGTTGTGAATATTTGTTATGGTGATGTAGACCTTTTAACATAGAAATTGACCTGCAATTTTCCTTTTAAATAATTCATCAAATTGGATGCTTTAAAAGATAGAAAGATTGGATATGAACCATCTGACTAAAAAGAACCACTCTAATTCTTGATATTTTTCAATTGTGTGTGTGTGTGTGTGTGTGTACTTATAAAGTTGACATTTTGAAGCTAGACATCATCTAGTTAGGAATACCAAAGAATCTCTTATAAAAACTGTCACCTACAGAAAAAAAATTAAAGTCACAACTGCATCTTCATGGTAGTGATAATTTCTCATTCCCACCTCTCCTACATAGAATGGCGCTGGGATAAAATCATGCCTTAGAAAACTGTCTTCACAGAGTGTGTCCACTTGAGAATGCCGTCTAGGAATGTGCAGTATTTAGACCAACTCATTTTGCAGATGGCGGTGGCAACGCTTCCTTCTCCCATCCAGGTGCCTCTTGTTAGTCACCAATCAGCAATGGAGACCTGACAGGCAGCTCTGAGTGTTGGTTTGCACAGGGCAGTAATGTCTCCTCCAGTTCTCTCTCCCAGATCTTTAGCTTCACCTTTCACCCTACATGTGTGGTAGCAGGTTTGGGAGGGCTAGCAAGAGACTGTTGTGATTTAGACACCTCCTGTCTTCTCTGGCCTGTTCTTTAGATGAGCTCTTTAAAGAGACCCACAATGCATTGGAGGGCATGCTGGCAGTGCTCAAAATCGCTGCTTGCCTTCATGTCCTAATGCTAATTCACTTTCCTGGTGAGCTTACCGGATGTCAGAAAGCAGACAAGCCTTTTAAATTTCACCAGAGTCCTCAAAGATGGACTACTAACATTGTCCTGTTGCACAGGAGGGGATGAACTTCTACGTAGGTCACAAAATTTGCCTTGGACGGTCTCGTTAATAAATAACAGAGCCAAAACTGGTTTAGCTTAGTGGATAGAGTGTCTGCCTGCGGACTGGAAGGTCTCACGTTTGATTCCGGTCAAGGGCATGTACCTTGGTTGTGGGCACATCCCCAGTAGGAAGTGTACAAGAGGCAGTTGATCAATGATTCTCTCTCATTGATGTTTCTAACTCTCTATTCCTCTTTCTTCCTCTCTGTTAAAAAATCAATAAAAATATATTTTAAATAAATAATAAATAAATAAATAAATAAATAAATAAATAAATAACATGACCTAGAATTCTGAAACATGACTTTGCTTCTGATATGGTTTGGTGGACTGCATCTTCAAAGGATTGCAAAACTAGATGACTTTTCTCTCAGTAATATGCAGCTGCTTTGATTTTTTTTAGCCTCTATATTTCTCTCTCAAGCCCACTGTACAGACACCAGTGATCTGACTGGCTGCCTAGAGATACCTAGGAGGGACTGTAGCTTGATGCTAACATAAAAAGAAACTGTAGGAAAAACCTCTGGTGGCAATCTAGTTTAAAAGCTAGATCTAAAAGGCTCGTTATTGGTATTATTAGCTGAATTTGTGTTCCCGCTCAACCAAATGCATACGTTGAAGTTCTAATTCCTAGTGCCTCTAAAGGTGACTGTATCTGGAGAGAGGGCCTTTATAAAGATAATTAAGGCAAAATAAGGTCATACGAGTTAGCTGACATCCAATATGACTGGTGTCCTTATTAAAAAAAAAAAAAAAAAAGCCAAAACTGGTTTGGCTCAATGGATAGAGCATCGGCTTGGGGACTGAAGGGACCTGGGTTCGATTCCGGTCAAGGGCATGTACCTTGGTTGCGGGCACATCCCCAGTAGAGGGTGTGCAAGAGGCAGCTGGTCGATGACTCTCTCTCATCAATGTTTCTAGCTCTCTATTTCTCTCTCTTCCTTTCTATACAAAATCAATAAAATATATTTAAAAAAAAAAAAAGATAAGGTCTAGGCACACACAGAAGAAACCATGTGAAGACCGAGGAAGAAGGTGGCCTTCTATATACCAAGAAAAGGGCCCTCAGAAGCACCCAACCACGCAAATACCTTGATCTTGGATTTTTTGCCTGCAACAAAGACTTAGGAGGCCAACTCTGGCTGGAGTCAGCAGTAAAGGTGGCAGACTCCCCCTGGAGCAAAGGCCTGGGTCCTGGTGACAGAGGAAAACCGGTGCTGGAAACCAAAGGAAGGAAAGCCTATTGCATGAATCTCTTTGTGCAATAGGCCTCTAGTGTTTGCAATAAAAAGTGATTGGAAAATCTCTAAGTGAAGCATTAAACTTCTTTGTGCCTATTTGAATCAATAAAACTTGTTAAGTTGATTAGATGAGGCAGAGAATTTGAACACAAAGCAAGAAGCTTTAAACATATTAGTGTGTCAGTAGATTGTCATTCTAGGAATATGGAAAAGAAAAATAAACATGTTTTGGGAAAATATAATAAATGTCATTTCTAACAGTTTGAAGGGCTATCCTTCAAACACATAGACGTGTGGGTTTATGCATATTCAACAAATTATTTTATATTATATTCTATACCATGTACACCTCATATTTGAAAGCAATTTTTTTTTAATTTACAGATTCTTTTCATCGGTGATTCAACCAACAGAGGGATGATGTACTATCTGATTGAAAGACTGAATGAAACCTTGCAGGAATGGCAGAAGGTGCATGGCACTAAGTTCTACCACAATGTCAATGGTGGGAAGACTTTGATCAGTTATTCCTACTATCCTCAGTTCTGGATAAGCCCTTCATTGAGACCAACGTTTGAAAAGGCCCTTGAGCGTCTCTTGCAAAGGTACAATGGAACTATTGAGAAGGGCACAGTGCCACAACGCACTTGCTTTTTCGCTAGTGGTCATAATTGCCCACCCTATATCAAAGGTGCTGAAAAGCGTAAAGCAAGTAATGTGGCTGAAAACGAGTTGGAAATGCCGAAGAGGTCCTGTGATCAGGATGTCAGATATGGTTCAATGAAATGTGATGCAATGCTGTTAAAATATTTACCATCTGTTTCAAGGCAACATGTGTTGTTTTTCTTTCTGGATTTCAGATCACGTCCTCTGGAGAATTCGGGCCAGACTGTATTGGTGGTTGGTGGCGTTCAGTGGCTTAATTCCAATCATCTGCAAATTATTCACAAGGTTCTGAAGAGGTATGTTTCTGTAACAATAATTGTCATTAGGATTCTAAGATTTGATGGAATTTTATCAAGATTTTATTTAAAGGCCAACTTGTTCAGAATTAAGTAAGCACTTAAAGTCTTTTTTAAAATATTTCAAAATACCTTTGTATCCAATCACAAGACTACTCTTCAGTATCCAAATTTACATTAACTACAGATCAAAACATGCCCACTGACACGTCAAAATCTATCCACACAAAAAATGAACATATATCAAATCTATAAAATGAGAAATTAGTCCTATCTGCTAATTGCCACATCCTAAAGAACTTTCATGTTTTTGTTTATGTAAACATGATCATCTAGAAATACAATTTATGTCCTTGACTTTAGAATTCTAATTATTTCACAGGGAAAATTTACTCAATATCCTTGTGATCATCAAAACGTTGGGAATCGGATTTCATCTGCCAGTGGATGGAGTGCATTTCTTAACACAAGTAAGGCCGTTTTGCCCAGGCTGTGTGAACGTCATGCTTCCTATATTTGTTGATGTTTGAAAAGGACTGAAAGGCACCACATAATATCCAGCAAACCTTTACAAAAATTAAGGGAGATAATACACTTATGGGTTATGATTTTAAATCAGTTTGAATTATTCCTGGAGATAAGGAGCCCGTAGCCAATGTGTGCTGAACATACTTTGAATTCATAGAAGGAGAGAGAGAGAGAGAGAGAGAGAGAGAGAGAGAGAGAGTGAGAGAGAGAGAGAGAGAGAGAGAGAGAGAGGTGCCAAACTATGAAAAAGAACTGAGGGTAGATGAGAGAGATTGTGCTTTAGGTAGCGCCTTACCCTACAAATGTTTCATACACCGTTGTGGTTCATGATGAAACCGCATATGAAATTGTCAGCATCAGTGAATACTTTGGGAAAGAGTTGCTTTTTTGAAGAGGATGTATGAGTGATTGCTTTTAACAATCATCTTGGAAGTTTTATCATTAGCAGTATAACTCTGGCTAGAGAGTGATAAATGTAAGGAGTTAGAGGCCTCTGACCAGGTCTTACAGAATTTAGTAAACTAGTCTCAACACTGAATTGAAGTCTCAGAAAAGAACAGAAAGACATCTGTAGGTAAAGGAGCCAGCTGTTCTTGTTCAAGCCAGGAGAATTCTTGGCAGTGGAGTTTGTGTGTGATTGCTCCAGGGAGGTCAGGAGCACGGGGAGTTTGGGAGACAGTATGCTGTCCATTAAATACATAAGCCGAGTGAGATTTACTTTTGTGTCAATGGTGGGTGCTCCTAGCTTTCCCCAGCATATATTACACAACCCCCCACCCCCACCTCTTTCTTGAAACTATACCTGCATAGATGCCGGTTCTGTGATACAAAAGCAGAAGAACTGGTAGAAAGAGGCCCAAGTAGAGCCTCCAAATCATCTCCTTGGAGTTAGGATGGGCTAAAGGGTTGAGATTTTAGTATCTAGGGTAGCTGAAGAGTTTTAGACCATTGAGGATTAGAAGAAGGATGCTTTGCCGAAGCCGGTTTGGCTCAGTGGTAGAGCATCGGTCTGTGGACTGAAGGGTGCCAGGTTCGATTCTGGTCAAGGGCATGTATGTTGGTTGGGGGCACATCCCCAGTAGGGGGTGTGCAAGAGGCAGCTGGTCAATGTTTCTCTCTCATTGACATTTCTAGCTCTCTATCTTTCTCCCTTCCTCTCTGTAAAAAATCAATAAAAAATATATTTAAAAAAAAAAAAAAGAAGAGGGATCATTTGATATTTTTTGCAGTAGGTTATGAGTGGAATCTCCTTTACTGTTATCTGAAAACTACAGGACAATATTGCAACTCCTTATTGAGGACTCTGGTAGCTCCACTTTGCTTCTTTGATTGCAGCTCCTCACAGGAACTAGAGTTCTGTTGCTGCTGCTTCTATGTAGTGTATTAAGTTAGAGTCAGTTCATCTTGGCAGATGGCAAACATTTCTTCAGCACTTTCTATGTACCAGATATCATGTTAAACATTATGCCTCCCCCTCGTCTTTGATGATGTTCATCAGTCCTTTAGAACTAAGTAAAGACAAAAGGATGGAACCGGAGGGTAGGGAAAACAATAGAAGGAAAGAGAAAATAGCAATGGAAGCAGGAAATAAGTCTGAATTCCTCATCCTATGTTTGCATGGCTTTTCAGGACTGGGCCTCTGCTTTCCTCTGTAGAATTATCCCTTGGGCTCCTTAGATATGCACACATGTCTATACACACAGACACACAACACCACTGAGCTTTGTCATGCTGAGCATGTTGCATGTTTTAGCTTCACAAGCATGTCATGCTCTTAGTCACCTTCAGGTCTTTGAAATCACTACTCTCTTTTCTTAGAGCCACTCTCACTACCTCCTCCTGTGGATAACCTCCATGTACCCTCCAAGTGTTAGTTTACATGCCATTTCCTCTGGGGAGATGTAATGGGTACACGGGACTCACTGGTCTGTTCTTGCTATAATATCCTTTTATGCCCTCATGTATGTCTCATCCGATAATAGTCCTTGGTTGCCCATCTGCCCTGCTAGAATAACCTCTGTGATTGGAGAGACCTGGAAGGTGGGGCTGCTTGCTCATTCTGGTACTCCTAGTGCAAAACACAATTGTCAACATGTAGTAGACTCAAAAATATCTATTCCCCAGTGAATGAGTGACACTTTGTATGATATGGCTGCTCCCAGATTGCCCTTTTAGGTCTGAAACATTCATTCCCTGGGGCTGCTGGTTATGTGGCCTAATAAGGACTTATACATGAATCCTAGCAGCAATTGCCTTTTGCTGCAGAAACCCTACCACCATTCCTTATGTGGGCCATTATCTCAGAAGATCCTTCCTCTAGAATCCCTAGTGGAATCCACAAAACCTCTGTTTCAACCACATCACTCTTCTATAGTTGTTGATCCCCGTTAACCTCCTGCATGCAAATTTCCATCTAATTGTGTATTTCCCAGAGAACCGACCTTTCTCTAGATAAAGGCTTGCTCTAGAGTTTCATGTATTCTTCATAATTAGACATATTAGACTTGAGAAAATGCTTGTACTAGACAAGAAAAAGCCGGAGGATCATTTTTCATGTGACAGCACAGACAAAATTCACATCTGTCTCCTTTCCTTCATATTTTTTCTTTATGAACCTTTGCTATTCATGACCTTTATTTGGGGGGGAACACTCTTCTTTGAATGTCACATAAAAATAGTTATGTGAGCACAGTGGAGATAAAAAATTAGACGTATTTGTACTGCTTTTACTTTTTGGTTGGATTAACTAAAGCAAGCAATTTGCATGATTACATGGAGAATGAAAATAATGTTTGTTCTTTAGAAAAGGCAGAGAGAGTGCAATTCCCTCTTTGTCAGAATGGGTTTGCCAAGAAACAGACCCTAAGATGGGGTGAGCAGAAGGAGGGGGTTAGAGGGAGAGCACCTGGGAAGACTAAAGGGAAGAGGAGTAGGCGGGAAGACTCAGACAACAGCACCCAATGTGTATCACTCAATCTTGCACCAAATGTTTTGTAGTTACTATGTATTGGGACCTGTGTTTGGGTGCAATGAGTCTGACATGAAGGGTGTGGAAGAAAGAGGAAGAGACTCAGACGACAGGTCAGTCTGAGAAAATGTTGGCCAAGCCAATGAGGAATCCTGAACTAGGGTAGAGGAGGAATTCCTCCTCTTGACAGTAGACCTGAACTAGAACTCCAACCTTGGACATGGGAGGGAAGGAGGGAGGAAGAAGGGAGGGAGGGAAGAAGGAATATGACCCAGAAGCAGCAGCACTCAATTCTGCTGCTCCTAGAAGCACACTCCCTCCCCTCGTTCCCCACCCGCTACTGGCAGACCTGTCTCCGCTTAGGAGTCACCTCTCCAAGCCTCTCTGTCGAGCTGTCCCCTTGCACCTGGCAGAGCTATTCCCTTTGCCCTACTAGCCAGAGCCTGGTGGGTTTGCCTGCAATGAAAGACTCAGTAAATGTATGCATGTCTTTCTCCTATCAGAATGTAATGTCTTAAGATCAGGGCCCATGATTTATTTATTCTTGTATTCTTATCTGTCGGCACAGAGCTAAACACAAAACTATATTAATTAATATTCAAATGAATAAAAATCTAAATAGATGGGGTTAATGTTTGTGATTTCAAATCTTGGCTTTCAAATAGAGAATTTTAAGACTTCAATGGATCTTTATGGGCAAAACAAAACAAAAAAAAACCAAATGACTTTTTATGGTAGGGAAAGTTCTAAACTGTAAGTCACTGTACATATTGATGTATTGCTGTTTTATACATACACAGATGTTCACACTTATATTTTGAATAAAAAAATTAGAACACCTCTTTATTTATTATAGGAAATATAGGTAAAATTAATTCTTTATCTCAAAATAAAACCAATCTATAGAAAAGATGCCCTTTACACAATTTCTATCTGATTTAGTACATCGTAAACAATGCTCTTAATAAAAATTCTCATTCTTCTGCTTTGCAATACAGAGGGAACTTCAGAACTTATGGAAAGAAAACGTGATTATTCTGGACACTGCAAAAAAATATGGCTACGAAGTGGTTGACACCTTCACAATAACCATGGGCCGCTACAAAGAGTTTCTGCAGGGAGCCTGTGGGTGCCATTTTCATGAGGTATTTATTCTGGCTTTCTGGCTTTTTTAGGTTTTAATTTTTCATTGTGTTTTTAATACCACCTTCAGTCTTATTTTACATTAAAAAACTATGTCAGGAAAAGATGGAGTGATTTGTTCATCACTCAGCTGAAGCATGTAGTAATCAAAACTCAAGGCTCTGCAAAATGAGGTGTTTTTTTTTTAATTTTTGTGTTTGCATAGACAGTTGGAAACTGAGATCTCAAGTCAATGCAAGAAGGAGATGGCAACTTGGAAAGCACCTGCCTAACAGATGCTGAGCCTTCCCTGAGGAATGGTGTCCCACACTGTGGCAGATTCCTTTAATGGAGGCAGCTTGAGGATCCAGAGCAGTGTTTCTCAACCTTTCTAGTGCCACGACCCTTAGTTCCTCATGTTGGGGTGACCCTCAACCATAAAATTATTTTCATTGCTACTTCATAACTGTAATTTTGCTACTGTTGTGAATCATAATGTAAATATCTGTGTTTTCCAATGGTCATAGGCTCTACAGCAGCGGTTCTCAACCTGGAGGTCCCAACCATAAAATTATTTTCATTGCTACTTAATAACTGTAATTTTGCTACTGTTATGAATTTTAATGTAAATATCTGTGTTTTCCAATGGTCTTGGCAGTTGAGAACCACTGCTGTAGAGCCTAATACCATCAGAAAACACAGATATTTACATTACGATTCATAACAGTAGAAAATTTACAGTTATGAAGTAGCAACAAAAATAATTTTTTGGTTGCCGAAACCGGTTTGGCTCAGTAGAAAAAGCATTAGCCTGCGGACTGAAAGGTCTCAGGTTCGATTCCGGTCAAGGGCATGTACCTTGGTTGCAGGCACATCCCCAGAAGGGGGTGTTCAAGAGACAGCTGATTGATGATTCTCTCTCATCAATGTTTCTAACTCTCTATCCCTCTCTCTTCCTCTCTGTAAAAAATCAATAAAATATATATTTTTAAAAAATAATAATTTTATGGTTGGGGGTCACCACAACATGAGGAACTGTATTAAGGGGTCAGAGCATTAGAAAAGTTGAAAACCACTGATCCAGAGCATTTAATATGATAACTAATGAATTATCTTCCTCCTTTGGAGTAGTCATTGCACAACAGGAAGGCCTATCTTTTGATTAATTTTCCCCTCTAGTGGTGAAAATTATGTTCTTTGTAATAAGTAATTAAATAGGCTTAGCTGATAAGATGATAATAGAAATTAGTTTTTTCTTTTTTTCCCTTGTCCTTTCAAATCCCCCTATGGATTATTACCTCCCTACCTCTTGAATAAAATATTGGTGAATCCTACAATTTGAAAACCACTTTGATAACCAAAGGACCCCCATCATTTTCAAGCACAGAAGAATATCACTTCAATACTAAAATTGCCCAGGCCTGTGTTTATGCCCACGTAGCATGATTCTCTTCCCCAGCTTCATCTTGAGAGCCAGAAATAGGAGAGAGGGAGTCAGGGACTTCTTTCCTATTTCCCTCCTCTTCTTCTCCCACCCCTCTTCCCTGGGTCAGGTTAGGGAGGACATATGAAGGGCAACAAAAATCTTACTTGACTAGCATACACATAATCATCAGTGTGCTCTCTGGGGATAGAATGCTAATTCTGTTTTAGGGTGCTTTTGTGCACTCCTTGAAGACAGCTTTCACTGGTCCCCCGAGATAACTTTCTGGGTAAATGCCAATCCCACTTACCGCTGCTTTCCTTCCTTGGCCTTTTGACTTCCAATTGCCCATCCTTCTTTTGGGAATGGGGGTTGGGGGTCCCATTGCCCCTCTAGGCATCCTCTTGGAAGATATTCAGAATGGCACTGGGCTTGCTATATTCAGTTGCCCAGATTTGCTTCATAACAAACACCCATGCATCTGTACCTCCAGGTCAGACCTCTCTGTTTCTTGCTCTTTCTTACTCTCTCACTTTCTCTGCTACAGGGAAGCTGAATGTTAGCCAGTGTCTTATCCCAGTCCTAAACAATGCAACCCAATCCCCAACATGTCCATCTCTCCAAGATGGTCTCTTGAAACCCCATCTCACTTAGCTTAGAGCAGGGCTGGAGGTGCTCCCCAGATGGAAGAAGACCACAAAGTATTTGGAAAACTTCTCACATAGATTTTCTCACTCTTCATCTTCATTTCCCAGTTCTTTTTGTGAAACAAGGGTTTGTGAAACCAGATGCTGTCCACACTTTTGCATGTTTTGCATATATTGTCCAGACATTGCTTTGGAATGTGCAGTTATGTGGCTACTGTTGTTTGCTCTAAGTCTCAGGAGCGTCCCTTGGAACCGTGAAAGAGAGTTTCTCATTTGACCATCCTGTCAGATATTGATTCACTCGTGGGTTGTTGTTTGTTCTTGCCTGGCCTCCTTTGTAAACCAGAATGCAGTCATTAGTGAGCTGGCTAGTGAGATGACAATTAAAGGTTTCTTCTGATCCTGTTTTTCAGCCATAAGATGACTGTCAGAAACTATCCTGATCCTCTGGTTTAATGAATACCCAAACATTATTGACATAGATTGTATTCTCTACTAATGGGTTCATGTTATATTTTCATATGACAAATGGAACTGCATCTCAGAGAAGTGAGCTCCTATACCCACAATAGAAATCATTTTGAGTTTTTAATCTAGCAACATGGAGCTTGGCCATATGGATGTAGACCAGATTTTAAACTGTAAGATACTGTGTGTCTACTCATTTCTCCCATAAGAAAATATAACACTCTTTGGATGCCTGTCCTAATTTGCAAAATGTCAAGACTTAGAAATACAAGTGCAGGCAGCCTGAAAGAAGAAAAAACAATGAATTTGTATTGCAGACAACCTGGTATCAGAGTTGGTGACAAAAACAAGCCAAAAGTTGCCAAACTTGCAGAAAATGGGGACTTTGAAAGATGATACACAGATAATTGTTTCTGGTTGTTATTTGTTTGGGATTTTTGTTTGTTTGTTTGTTTGTTTGTTTTTGTCTCTTTTGGGAGAGATTCATTTATTTTTATATAATATGCCTTCAATTAGTCATTGGGGTGAGGATACCTGTTTTTCCTTAGTGCTTCTAAAAAGAAGTCCTCCAATGATTTCCAGCATGGTTCTAATAAAAACAGAAGATGCCCTTCCCACATGATTGCATTACATGTATCTCCTGCTACGGCACAAGTAGTTGACACTAATAGTCATGGAATTCGAGGAATACAAAAAAAGAAAAAAAAGACTCTGAACCATCTAAGCAAGAAAATTGGCTTATAATCATTACTAAAACACCATTATTAATTGCATAACAATGACTTAAGCATGCCAGGTAAAATTATTTAACTTATCTGATTTTATTTAACTTATCTGGTTTTGGGGTTCAGATATTATGTACAATTTTTTTTCTTACACCCTATTTTTCATGTATACTGTCTTCAAGGCAGGCTATGTAGGCATGCCCCAAATCGTTTCAGTTGATTCTGGAGCATGTCATCCATTCCGAAGTTTCCATGTTCGAGAAGAAATACTTCTAAGAGCATTTGCCTTTCTAGTTACCACACAGACCTGATATGATCGTCTTTCTCAAATGACTCCCTTCATCACAAAGTCTCAAAGCTCATTCATCACTTAGGCATACTTGTTGCTTAACTTTTGAACAATTTGTACCACTTGTACTTCAGGAAGTTGCTAGTGCTGACACAGATGTTTTATGCTCTTTCTAAACCATCACCCAAGATCTTAAATCACTTTAGCTTATTACAAACAATCAATAAAATTCTAAAGCTTCTTGTAAAGAATGGTGTGATGACAAGTGTAGCAAGCCAGAAAACAGTAGGTTATTGGTCTCAGGCAAAATGTGTTAAAGGGTAGGAATTTATTAATAACAACCATTTTTTTTCTTTGTGCTCATCTAATGAGCTGGCAAAGAAAGTTGTCATATAGTAATCAAAAGATTTAAAATCAGCTCTAAGAAACCAAAAAAATTTTCAGTTGGAGAACCTTAAACCATTCTCACAATCAATTCAGACACCTGAGGATTGATATAACCTTCATATAGCAAGATGTGAATGTGACCTCTTTGATTTGTGGTGAGAATTTGAGCAGACATAACAAGCCTGCTCCAGTGGTCTCTTGTTGCTATGGGTGAGATTAAAGGGTTTGGGAATCTCTTTCATCTGTCAAGGCACCAAAAGAGAATACGTTGCCACCACACATCTATAACATTTCCCAACTGGTGTGCATCAGTTTTGACTAACATGATCCTGCAAACGACAAAAACAGGTATATCTCTCTATGGGTAGAGATGGAGTTTTGTTTTCTCGATGTTTATACAGGACAACAAACTGGATCCAGGTAGAGCTTGCCCAAGAGTGGTTTTGGATGGTGCTTTAGTTATGTGGAAAATATCTACTGTCAACAAGACAAAATCTGGAAACGTTACAAAACTATTATCAGCCCAAATTTAGCTGCAGAAGGGGAAAATCCACAACTAATTATTATGTGACTAGAAGCCCGGTGCACAAATTTGTGCACCAGTGGGGTTCCTCAGCCTGGCCTGCAGGATCTGGCTGAAACCAGCTCTCCAACATTTCCCAAGGGGTCCTGAATTATGAGAGGGCACAGGCCAGGCCAAGGGACCCTACTGGTGCACGATCAGGGCCAGGGACACAGGAGATTGGCCAGCTGGAGAGGGACTGCAGGAGGGCTCCAGGGTTTGTCTGGCATGTCTTGCTCAGTCCTGATTGGCCAGACACCAACAACAAACTAACCTACTGGTCAAAGTGTCTGCCCCTTGCTGGTCAGTGCACATCATAGCAAGCGGTTGAGTGGCCTTAGCATATTATTAGCATATTACACTTTGATTGATTGAATGGCCAACCAGTCAACCAGACAATTAGCATATTAGATTTTTATTATATAGGATTATTAATTAGTCTAATCTAGCAATTTCCCAAAACTTTTTCATCTTGTGGCACATGCAAATTACTGAAATTCTTTTGTTTGCTGATCTGACAAA